TAAAAGTCAGTTACTATGTGGTTTAATCATATTTCTATGTCAAAAAATGATGTATTTGATATCTTTTATCTTGTACTTCAGATAATTTACCGTACCTACGTTTTATCCCGTTGAACTAAGCCGTAGAAACTGGTTCAAATGTGGATTATAGTCTGTGAACTGTGTGTATAAGTCGTTTCACTGTATTTGATCACATTGTAGGTGTACAGAAGTAGAGTTATCTCTACTTGTAACAGTATTACGTATGTACATAGATTGCCAATTTGGTGGGTAAGATCCCTTATACATTATATTATTCGCAAATGGTGTTATTTATCGTAACGTAATATTTAGTTTATAACTTGACAACGTGCCAAGTTAATTATAGAATCGTCAACTTCTTCAACGTCAAGCTAATGAAAACGCTGCTTTGAAGAAGGTGTTCAGATGCGATAAGGATCGTAAAGTCGCAGCGCGGATGCCTCGGCTCCGACTACGTTGAGATTCAAATGATCTTCAGTTCCACTCGTGACGAATTTGGACAAAGCGTTATTCACGCAGCTTTTTCTGCAATGGCTTCGTGCTGCAACTATTCACCCATAAAAGAGAGTTGCGGAGGCAGCTTAGTCTACTGTGGTAGAATTGTGGGATCGAATTCTAAGGAATTTGATGTTTTCAGTTGTATTTATGGTGGCAAGGCGAAGTAATAGCTTTAATATACTGTATGATCACCGAAATAACTCTGCATTTTCGTACTTCTGGAAAACCAAACACCTGTTCTCTTGTTTTTGTCTAATCGTTAATTAGGAATATGCTGTAAAAAGAGGTGTAAGCAAAACTCAAATTAGGTTTACACCTTTAATTAAGCATTTTAATAAATCATCCCTTGTTCCAATTCCTTTTCTCTATGCCTTTCCAAACTCACCAACGTGAGTGAAGGCGATCAAAACGAAGGTGGTGAAGCGGGTTTCTGCATGTACCCTCAATAATTTGTTAAGACATAGTTTTCTTTCCTAACTTTAGTTATTCCGGTAATTGATCTTTTCTTTCTCTCACGCATTTGATTGAAATATTGAACATTCATAGTCCCTAGGCGCTTAAACTCAAAATTTTGAGGATTCCTAGGACTCAGTTACGTTTCTTAGTTCGTAACCTAGCAAAATGAGATTTTTGGAAACTTGTGTGATTCCATGTTAAGGGAGGTTTAAGTTTTCCCGGGTACTCCCTTTATGTAACAGAAGATAGAATTATGCCTCGAATTATAAAATTTCTTACTCTGTGAGCTGAAAAAGCGTATCAGTATTAGAATGTTGATTCACGTCCATGAACCGGACTGTATGATGTAACACCAGTTGAGGGTTTTTCAAAATTGGTAGAGTAGGGAACTATGTTCATATTTACATAAAAACGCGCCGTTTTCGCGTGTACGCTGCGTATATGAATTAATGATTAAATACTAATTTAGCTTAACTAATGTATTAATTACAGAAAATCTCTCGTGGTGAGGAGCCCCTGCCGTCGAGAGGCCTATCGCTCCGCGGCGCGCGCGGCGGCGGTGGCGCCTAGCAGGCCGGCGCACGCGTTTATTTCGGAGCCGGCGAGAGACGGGGGGGGGGGCGTGCCGGCGGCGGCAGCGCGTCTTGGCGGCGGGACCGAACGCACCCGAGATGCGCTCACCCACCTGCGTGGGCGGCGCGGGAAAAAGATCCTCTCGGGTTGACACCTGCAAATATTGCTCGCTGCGTTTAAGAGTCCCCCTTCGCGCGACCAGGCCTCGGACCATGGAGGGGGGGTCTTTCAGGAGAGCTTGGCGACGTTTCGTCGGTCGATCGATTGATTTTTTCTTTCTCCCCTCCTCCTGATCCATCCCGTAAGTGTAGTGTATGTTTTAATTAACGTGAGGATATGGGAGGCTGTTGTGTTCTTTCCCGCGGATGGCGAGATCCGGCGCGTGTACCCGTCGGCTTGCGGGTTTCCATCCAGGTATTCTCCAGTGAGGACACTGCCTCAATGGTGGAGCTCAACGCTCGGCTGATCTTTGGCGTTGATCTGGCGTGGTGGTGTGGTGCGGTAGTGTACGTGTCGTAAAATAAGGGGTGAGGGATAGGAACAAGAAGAGGAAAGGAAGGGCTGTGCAGCGGTTCGTGGCTCGTTTGTTAGGTTGCTGCTCTGGCATTCGCTGGCGTTGATTGATAAACCACGGAAAACTACGATCAAGCAACCGACTCTCTAGATTCTCTTCAGCAGCGGCTGAATTCGACATGGCTATCTAGCTTGCGTAGAAAACTCCTGTCACGGTGGACTCTAGACTTCTCGCCAAGAACGCACCTGCAGTAACCATCATATTAAACAGGCCTCTGAGCAATCAGCTGGTGCAGCACTTTGTGAGCTTGTCCTTTCATATCAACGTCGTCTTTCATCATGATGGAATGGAAGTGGACCAAGGGAGTGTAGTGTAGTGAAGGAGTGCAGTTAGTGAAGTGTTATGTAAACTAGAAGTGAATTTAGAGTAGCTAGAAATAAATTGGAACTATTATATCGACCCTAATTTAATAGTAACCTAATTGTAAATGTTAAAGATTGTTTTGGTAATTCTAATTCTAATTGTTATCATGTTTGCCACGAGCATTAGCTTTCAACGCGAACTTTAAATAATCTTCTAATCTATCTATCTATCTATCTTATCTATCTATCTATCTATGCTATCTCTCTATCTACCAATGCCAGAGATTCGAATCTTGGCTTTCTTGGGGTAACTTGGAAACAAAGAAAAATATCTGGATGTTGTAGAATATGTAAAGGGTAATCCTTACCTCCCGATAGCTTGATAATCATTTCATTCGTGATGCAGGCAGTCGCGTTCGGCTACAACCACGTCTCCAACCGAATGTGGTTGCCAAGATATGATCCAGGCCGGATAAATCAGGGCGAGAAAGTAACAAAAGAAGCAACTGATTAGGGGACCATTTTGTGTGGGACGCCGGATGCTCGAATGCCATCAAATATTCGAAGATAGTCTAGAAGAATTCTCACAATGAATGTTAATCAAGACGCCTATGTCTACAAAATAATTTTATCTTATTTTCTAGAATGTATTGAGAAATATAATTAGTAGTTTTTCCGTGATGGGATAACGACTTTCGT